TTGAATCTCTTCTGGTTTAAAAAGAAAGCGCACGAACTTTTCCGATACCAGTAATTCTTGATATTTCTTTGATTTACCTGTGCATTGAACACGCTTTTGTCGGCTTCACTAATAAGCTGCAAGAATCCATCGGTACCCCTGAAAACTGATTTTGAGACGGTTTTCGAGGCATTCTGCTATGCACACATCAGTCAACATCACCTGAAGCTCAGCACGATAGCTTTATCACCATTTAGCACTGCTGAATATCCAGAACAAATATCGCTTCTAAAGGAGTCGCATTTCACGTTTAACTGTCGTTTGAGCTGCAAAGAAAATTGTCTATGAATATTCGCTTCTTATCCGTAGCATTCATGAACTGACTACAGCATTGGTGAACTTATTTGTTAGACAGTTTTGCGGAGTCTTTGCATAGGCAGCGGATGCTAACGGCAGCATCTTATTACGAGCTACAGCATCTGTATAAGTTGCATCAATGGATGATGGAGCGGCGTGTGAAAGGGCAAGCCCAATGAGGACGAGAATAGCCAATCTCATCCTACAATATTAATATACAAATAAAGGGAATTGATTATTTTGAAATATATGACAATGAATCTAAAGCTAAGCTAAAGGAGAAAGGCGCTTGAAGCTTGTTCTGATAACATATCGAAAAGTTTTGCCTTTCATATCTGATGGCAATTTTTCAAGGTGTGATTAGATAGCGTGATCAGGCGGTATTCTCAATTTGCATAGAACATTTGCGTTAAGTATTTCAATGGATCCACTTGAATTCACTGGGAAACATCTAATTCTTTTAGATGAAAGAATGCTTGAAGTGAGGTCATCAAGCTGCGTATTAGCCGAAAAACTCCGTTTGAGTTGTAATCTTCCTCAGCCGAGTTTCACTCTTCAGCCTTTGCAACTCAATTTGTTTTTGTTTGAATAACCAAATGAATACGCTAGGTGCTAGCATGAGCCTTATATTATTACGATAAGAATAACAAGCCGTTCTATGGGATGCTTACCGTAGATTGGGCTTACGCTGTATGATTTAGCTGTGTCTGTCATATAAAGGTGCACTCTGGAAAGTGCTTTGGGGAGTTGAGCCCTAAGAGTAGTTTCCGTCTTCTCTGATACCCACTTTAAAACCGTTTTTGATAATCGACTTTCACATATCCAACACATTCCTAAGCGCATGTTAGACATAAACGACTCCTCGTCGCCTCCATTACTGCAGCGCAGAAAGGGCTACCCAAAGTTTACGAGTTGAGGAAAAGACAAATACAGATGAGAAATAGCTTTCGCTTTATTAAAAAAATGAAATAAGATTAAGAGAGCATAGCACATAGGTAATACATAGTTAAAACTAATATTTACGATGATTTAGAATTAGATTATAGAAGCATATAC